AAAAAAAAAAAAATATTTATCTATGTATAAGTCGACCTTTTATGACTGAAAAATCAGTCTAAAAAATCACCCTCGTTGTAGTTTCCAAGATGGCAGTGTTTTCATCAAGCTATCCTTCGAAGTTCTTTGGTTTTCCTTCAGTCTACTAAATCTCCTTTCAAAAGGTTATTCAAATGCATGAAGATTTCATTTTCAAAACAATTTACAAAATATGGTAAATTACTTCTCCAGTAAATCGAAGTGCTCGTATATGCTTAAATCATGAATCCTGGTGATATAATCAAGTGCTACTAAACTTCACAGCACACGGTTACATTTTGCTCTGCAGTTTTTTTTTCAATTCACTGTGTTTTCAATACATTCTCAGAAATAAGAGATCAACCATTTGGGAACTTTCTATCAGTCTGAATTTTTCTTTAACTAGAAATAATGAAAAATCCGATTTTTGACCATGAAAATGGGAGGTGGACTTATACACGGGTTCGACTTATACATGGATAAATACAGTATCTACACATGCAACATCTAACTTAACTAATCAAACACAAGATTAAAAGGGCAAGCAAAGTATCACTTGAAATGTAACTACTACACTTTGTATGGTTTTCTGCATATCATGAATAAGTGCAGGATCAGTTAGGTGTCTAATTATAAGGTGGAGTATACCAATGGGGTCTTCACAAAACTCTTGAACTCAGGATTTATACTCACTTTCTGTTGTTCTTTGTCTTTAGGTCGGTGAATAAGTAGGGGCTGCTCCAGATCTTGCAAATTTATGCCATAGACTTTACTAGAAACCAGAAATTGAGGGCAATGAGCAAACAGTCTATTTTCAATGATTTTCATATACACTGATTGTGTTCAATGGATACCAGATAAACAGGTGGTCGCTTTTTAAAAGAATTTTTCACTGAAAGAAAATGTCCCAGATGCCCATTCCCACTTCAGAAGATGGTTACTACATAAAGGCAGGCATAAGCAGAAGAATATCAAAACCATCCATTCACCTTGTGCTCAAGCTTGTGTTGCAGCCCTCCCTAATGATGCATAACATTTTATGCTAATGCTTAAATTGTTAGTGGAGACTTGCTAATAGGAATTGCAAAAAAACACTTCATAGAATGACTTCATGCAACAAACAGCAAAAATGAAAACTTCTAACCAAGAGCTGACTTAGTAAATTGCAAGTCATTATCTGATTTTAAGCTAAACTTAGGAAAGTATGTGAAATAAGTAAAGTAAATTCTAATTAGGAATTATCATTAGTTATCTTGTTATCTGGACATTTTTACTTTTATTTAATTTATGTATATGTATATGTACATACATACATATATATACATATATATATAAAATTTTAGCTTTTATTTATAGTTGATGTGATATCTAACAAGATTTTATCAACTCAACAAATGTAGATGTAGAGTAAGGTTTAGTCACAGCTTAATTTGCAGTTATATGGAATCTCCTAAGAACAAATTAGTATTGATTAATTAATGAGTAGGAAAATCTGCAATTTTACGCGGTGGTAGCCCATTAGTACATAAATCAGCTATTTTGTGGGAAAAACCCTCAACTTCAAAATAGACAAAACCATGAACTGTTGTCTGGAAATAAATGAATCTGTCACACAGTTATGCTGAAATAATTGTGAATAGCAATACTTTTTGTGCATTGTGTCAGCAATACCACCCCTTCCCTTGAGAATGCAAAGGAAAACCCAAGAGTTACAGCCATACCTGTAATAGTCCACATACGACATCTGCTCTCCAGTATGGAATGTAAAGGTACTTGTTGGGTTCTGATCAAAAGCTATATCATCAATTCTGTATGTCTTGTTGTTGTACCTAATTTTTTGTAAGTTTTAATTGAAAAACAAGAATCAATCAAGACTGTTACCATTTCATATACTCGAAACAGACAAGTAAGTTAATCACCTTGTCAATACAATATTTCCTACAAGCTGTTTCTTGCATTCTTCTTGAAAGCGGTCTTTTCGCTTTAAATACAATTGATGCCTGGAGAGTAAAGAAAAAGAAAAAAAAGATTACAATCATGGTGAACTTTCATATTCTTTAAACTTAATCTGTAAAAGAAATATACCTCAAGACCAATGAAATCCAAACTTCATATCTTAGGAATATGCAAATGAACAATAACTCACATAAAATCATAACAGGTTTCTGTTCTAAGAAGCCTGTGCGATACATCACATAACAGCATCATTCCACCTGAAATGAGGAAAAAAATATTAGAGAGCAAGAAAAGGGAAGTGTACTATTTAGTCGTTGTACATGTATGAACATCATACACTGTACCTTCATAACACTGAATCGAAGTGATGTAACCAGGCCACAGTTCAATCTTATGCTGAGGAATACTGGCAGGTCTATGGGGATCATAGTAGTATCGCCCAACTTGTGTAAGATCAAGACGTGCCATAACTCTGAAAGGAAAGCAAACTATCGTGATCAATTACCTCTGTGATAGGATTTGCCCCACAAAAACCCGGATAAACCCAAAGTGCAATAGCCCAACAAACACATTAACATGTTTAGTAGTAATCTCTTTCTTTTGAGCTTCTCACTAAAAAAGAATTAACAAATTAAATTGACAAATTTGTGCACAAAGTTCTTTTTTGTTCTATATTTAATTACTTCTGTGTGTCTAAGTTGCCCTACAGGGTGAGCTCAGACGAATTTGGAACTCATCATTTGTTGAGTAAGACAGCTTCTGTAAAATTTCATATTTACACTATTTTGAAATTATTCATGATAACCAATGACACCTAGATGTAATGTATTTGTTAAATGAAAAAGTACACTTGAGTAAACCTATGGGCACAAAAAATTAAAAATCACCTTCTAAATATTATGTTTAGCAACTGTAAACAGTCATCAGGTGGAACAACTCTTGTAAGGGTAACTGTGAGGGTAACTTTTTCTCCATCTGTTCTTCTCTCAGACTCTAAGACAGTCTGTAATAAGAAAATCATTCAGCAGAATTAGGAATTACTGTTGACTCAAAACATCTGTTTTGTACAACCATTACTTTGTTAACCAACTATGAGGTGTCACAAGTGATCTTCCAGCACTCCAAAGGGCAAAGTCTTCAACACATGATACACACCAGGGAATCCAACTTTATAGTTTCTAAATTCAAACTATACTTGATTCAAGTTGGTAAGATTTGGAGCAAACAAACTTGTCTTATTTAATCAATCAGTAAAGTGTAAAAGTCCACGACAAAACATCACTACTAACTGGATTTTCCAACTGTTTTGGAAGGAACAAAGTAGCCCCATCAAAAGCACTGGCTGGTCCTAAAACTTCCTTATGGCTCTTTAGAAGACCATGTCTTGCTTTCCTGCTGTCAATGTCTGGGCTAGAAATGACAAAGAAAACAACTGAATATCTAGTGGACAGAATCTATATGTCATTATAATCCGTAGGTTTTCAAAAACAAATCGCACTTCTGCATGCAAAAATAGAACAGCAGCCCACAAGTAATTTGTCTACCACTTCACTAATAACTATATCAACACAAAATTAATCAGTCTTACCTGTAACTGACATGGTATTGATATATCTTTTGTTCAATAAATCTAATAGGTATGAAGTTAGCACAAAGTGACATCCTAAAAACAGGAAAAGAGATAAAGTGTGAGCAACAAACAATTGCTCAACATAAAAAGTCAATGAAAAACTAGTTAACATGTATTGGTATCAAAATGAATCCAATACAACTGAGGAAAGTACACTAACTAATTTTTTTTTAAGAGTACACAAGTGTTGGGCTGTGATCACCTAATTTTCCTCCAAATCTGAAGTAAACTTCTCTTAAGTAATAACAAAGGGATTATGGAGAAGTTAAATGCTTAGAAAATTTTTGTGTTGAGTTTAAAACTTGGGAAGATATTCAAAGTAAGTAACCATGTTATTAACTGGCAACTGGTCTGGATATCATCTGTTAAATCAAGAAATCATGAGAACTCAAAAATTGGCAAACTGCTAATTATGAGTGTTCATAGCTTCAATTTAAAGACCTGTTAACATTTCTAACATCTGTAAGTAGCTTAACATAATTGAGGAGACATTCACCTCACTGAGTTTGGCCTTGATTCTCTTTTAAGTATTACAGTGTAGGTTACCTTACCACCAGACAAATTTAGACAAACAGACTGTTGTCGTCTTAAGAATATTGACCAGAAAATGGAATGACGATTCTTGCTGAAATGATACACACTTACTGTTTCCCAGCGGTTCCTTTCTCGCCTGTTTGACTGCAAACATAAATAATAACATCACTTTTTGTGTTACCAAAAGTTGCAGGTAATGTTAACTGCTGCAACTGATTACAACAACAATTATGATGCATTCACTTATATTACCAAGTTGTACATGAAAGTTGTTTAGCAATGTTACAGTTGAAATGACCAGTCATAGAATTTTGACCACAAATCTAGACTGAAAGAGACAACTGTAAGAATGTTGCAAGAATAAAAATTGAACCACATCATAGAGTGATCTAGAGGCACAGAGTGTTTCTTGCTGACTCCACTAATATAGCACTGTGTTCTTTTTGCAAGGGAGAAAGAATTTTTTACCTACTGCCCAGAATTCTTTTTTTAAATTTTAGTTTGAGGTAATTTTCATCCAGATGTGGAGAATATTCTCCAGTCTACTGACTCTAGAAAAATGAATTAATTAAGCTTGTAGAGATATTTCATATTTTCACTAAATTCAAGTCTTGCTTTGAGTTCCACTGCTGTCAAAACTACCAGAAAACATTTATCTTGTCACGAAAGAGCTCCCTCTTTATGAAATGAAGAATGAAAACTGATTCAATTGCTCAATAAATTTCACAAGCAATTATTTGAAGCAGGATTTATGCACATAGTTCCGAGCACACAAAAGTATAGGATCCACAATAACACAGGGTTTTGCTCATCACCCCTCCTTAAAGTGCTTGCCAAGTAATATGGTACATTACCACATGTCTCATATAGGTGAACATCTCCTTACAAATTATCACTTACGTCTTAATTATATTATCCGATACTTTAAGTCCTGCCATCTGCTCCACTGGTGCCTATAACAAATTAGGGCAAGACTTTCCTTTAAAAAACAATGACCTTGGAAATTTCACTTACTCATTATAACCCCATACTAATCAAATTTAAAAATGACATGCACCAGTCTACCTGAGGGCCTTTAGGCTGCTGGGGAGGAGAGGGGCGTCTCTCTGATGGAGCTGATGGTTGTGCAGGAACAGAGATTGGAAAGGGTTGGGACTGAAGGGTCTCCCCTGTTACACCACCTCTCCCATATGAAGCAGGAACAGATGGTGCTGGGGCACCTCTACCATATGATGCAGCCATCTGGGCACCTACATGGACAAGACCAGAAAAATATAAAAAATTGCCAATACAGAAGAGGAAGAATAAAATAACATCTGTGATTGAGAAAAAAGATTGCCAACCAAGTCAAGCACCTTGGCTCCAAACTTAACTACACTATCTGTACACATTTATAACATCCTGCAAAAAGGCTTTTTATGACTTCAACCTACATGAATACTCAACCAGCTATATAAATCAGAATGTATTTCAATTCCCACTGACAAAATCTCATTTAGAAACAAGTACACCTCTGGTTTACAAAAAGAGCAAATTGCCAGGATGAAAACAAAAACCCACAACAATCTTTACCACATTTATTTTGGTTTATCATACAATTGTAAATAGTGCATAATCCCATAATTTCCCCCTTAGATCCCACAGAATTTTTATTTATTTTTCAGTACCCTATCAGGCCTTCCTTTACAAGATAATAGACACAGAATGGATTCAACCATAAGTATTTGGTAGCCACAGTTGCCTACTCATTATAAGGACAATGGAAAATATATTGAAAGACCAGAAACTTCAAGTTTGCAGTAATTAAATAGCTGAATGATGTGCTTAAAAGGAAATGTCTTTAAGTTTGAACAGCAGGAAGTTAAAAAGTGAAGTTCTACAATTCTCTTTACTACTAGTATGGATGAAAAGAAAGTTAACTGATACCTCTTCCATATGATACTGTTTGCTGATGAGATAAGGTTGAAGCAGGCTGCTGGCCATAAGGGGGTGCAGGACCTCCATACACTGGTCCTCCACGTCCATACATCTGACCATGCCCTGCAAAAACCAGCAAGCTCAGGGAAATGATTACATAGTTGATGTAAATGTAACCATGTAATAAGCACCTCTGAAGTTCTTGCGATTGCACTACAATAGTAAGCTCTATATGGTCGCAACTGGTCCACAAACAATATGCAGAAGGTGTTCAGGATTTTATGGGAGGATCAGCACTAAACAAATTGGGTCAATCAGTTAAACACTTAACCCTTAACTCCCAGAAGTGACTAACATGTAACTTCTCCCTATGATATCAGGGTGTGAAATTGTGCCTAATATAGGTGCCAATGTGACTAAATTTTTTACTTTGGTGACCAAATCCTGAAAAGTAGTTGTCAAATTGGCAACTAGAATGCTTCATCATGACCGTACCTAGAGATATAGTGAATAAAAAAGATTTGCAAAGATAAATCAGTGGCAAACTTCCTCATTAAGTTTGTTTCCAAAACGCAGCACATGCATCTTGATCGATAACTAGATGCCATCTTGGATTTAGGTGAGCTTGAACGTTGTATATCGTCCATCCTAGTGTCCACTTTGTAGAAGCTTGTAGAACTTAATTTTGAAGGGTCTATCTAGAACACTGACAGTGTAAGGGAAAGGTTTTGTTTGTCTTTAAAAATGGTGACCAATTTTTTTTTAATTGGCTGCCACTTTAGGAGCCAAGTGGCTATCAGAAAAAAAATTAATTTAGCCCCAGATGTCCACACATTTTTCTCACAAATGGTTTATGAGAATACTTAAACTTATCAGGAAGAAGTTTTTATCTTGCTCTTGCACCAAATTTGCATAATTGATTAACAAGGAATCGTGTAGCAACAGAAAGAGAGAATTAACAATCAAATCTTTAGAGTTAAAGGGTTAAAGTGAAAAGCATCTAATTTCCATCAACAGCATTACCCCTGAATCAAACATGAAGGTCATAAGTATGGGGGAAATTATCAAGAACTCAAGAAGTTCTTCATTGCAATACAAATTCTCCTGCAAGTACCATAGGTAATGCACAAAGAACAGTATGGGAAACTTGAATACTACTGGTACCTGTAAATATTTTAAATAAGTCTACAGGCAGCCTAATTTTCTTGCTTGAGATCAAAATACCAAGATTCAAGTTTTAAAGAACGAGTGTTTCATATAGTAAATACACAAACCTGAGGCCTGTTGATATTGTTGAGGCATTTGTGACTGGTTTTCTTGTGGCATTTGCTGGGCATTTGATGGGTAACGTGGTTGCTGATGATAATGTGGTCCTTGCTGAAAGGAAGGCTGTTGTTGTTGTTGTGGATACATGTGTTGTTGTTGATAGGGCTGCTGGTGCCTGTAAGGAGGCCGTTCCTGCCGATAAGATGATTGTTGTTGTTGTTGGTAAGGCTGTTGTTGGTATGGTGGCTGCTGATGGTAGTCTTGTTGTTGATAAGGATGCTGCTGTCTGTAATGTTGTTGTCTTGGTTGGTAGCCACCTTGTTGTTGATAAGGAGGTTGTTGATAAGGGGGTTGTTGCTGTTGATACTGGGGAGGGTATGGTTGTCGCTGGCCATACTGTGAAGGACCTGGCTGGGGAGGCCCTTGATGAGAGAAATGCTGAGGATGCTGTGTCTGGCCATTCTACCAAGAAGAAAAAATTAAAATCATCAGCTGATGCATCTGGAAGAGTTGATTGCATCTTATCCTTCATCTCACTCTGTTATCTGTTATGTAGAAAATACATGTGACTATTCACTCCAGAACACCTAGCACCATTGCATAATAAAATACCTTCCAATCAAGAAAACCAAATCTTTCAAACCCAAATGTGTAGACTTGACATTTTTACCATAAAAGGTAACCAGTGGTGTTATCTTGGAAAAAGGGACAGCAGTAACAATCATTGCCCTTCTTCAACTGACTTGTATGTCAGTCTTGCTGGAAACTATTCTAATTTCTTGTTGTAGGCAGAACGGTTACTTAAATCCTTTCTTTCCAAGAGCTGCTACACCTTCTGCTACAAGGTAGGAACATTGTCTCCCTTGATCTTCCTCATTTCTTCTTCTCCACTGTATCAAAACTTGTGGTTAAAAATTTAGCGAATCACTTACCTGTCCATTTTGTCCTTGGCCTGGAGGTCTGGCTGGTTGTTCTAATGCCTAAAATACAGAAAGATTGTTGATGACAATTCAAAAATACCAACTCTGACCAGGAGGGATAAAAATTGTAGGTCCAGAATATGGCATAACCCTCATTCTAAAAACAATCTTTGGAAAATGCATACATCCTTGCAACTCTGAATTTGTTATTGCACAATATAGCTTTGGTTGATGAAATCAATGTTTAGCTGAAGAAGAAAAACCAACAAGCATACATCCCTAAGCAATATAAGTAATAAGGCCATAAGATTGATGTGAGAACTAAAATCAGTTTTCCAAGTCTTAGTTTTCCAGTTCTTCAGTTTCCTGGTCTTGGTTCTTTAGGTCTCAGCTTTCTAGGTCTTAGTTTCCCGGACACCTGACTTAAATTGTCCTTGCCATAGAGGAATTTTGAAAGTTTTTTAAGGTTACAGGATGTCATTATTGGGAAGGAAGAGTAGTATTTTTTTTCTCAAAACGATCTTTGAACGTGTCAGAACTCGGATTGTTATCGGTGACGTCAGCCAAAACCGAATGACACCTTCTGCAGTTCACTTGAGCAACCGACTCGAAATTCACTCACCAATATCGGTAAAACGGAACTACGGCATCGAATCAAACAATTACTGGTTTAAGAAATACTTCATTGGTCAAAACAAAAACAAAAACACTCAAACCACAAACAAAGCCACCGTCCCAGCTGAAGTTGCCCTATCATACAAACGTGACCTTTCGATGAAATACGGGGTCGACGCGCGCTTTTTCAATTCGAAATTAAAAACTGTTCTTTTTTCTTTCACAGTTAGCTAGAAACCCTCCTTAAAGCTTGCGGCGGTAAACGAGTTCTTTCATATAAAATATTAGAAATTTCAACATCAGGCGGAGTCTTGTTTACAGTGAATGTTTTAAAAAATTTAGATGATAAAGAATCCCATTGTGCAAGGTTTCGTTAGTTTGCTTACCTGTAATAGCGCAGCGCCTCGTCCTCCACGGCCAGCCATGCCGTTCTAGTAGATACTTAAACCCTAAATTTGTTAAAATGTTAAAAATATATTTTAAAAAGTTACGGAAATCTCCACGCGCACATGTAGTGCGCTATTTACTGAGTTCAGACTCGTGCTAGTCAACAACTGCTAACCGAAGTAAGCATAATGAACTGGCGGCAACATACCATAATGATCCGACACTTAGCCTGACCAATCAGAAGCCTAAATTACTATTCGATAAAGGATCGTAAAACTACGTAAATAAATCGACTACGTTCTATCTATACCGAGAACTTTCTCAATCGCGCCTGTCGTAAACTGCTGTCATTACAGCCATGGAGAAAGACGACTGTGAAAAGATGTCCACTAAAGGGCGGGAAACTCCAAGGCTAAACATGGAACATGGATTTATACAATCCATAATAAAGAATCAAGTCGACAGAGATGAGTACGACAAAGAACAGAAGCTTTTAAAGTTGCAAAACAAGCCAGGCGGGCCATCTCGGAGAGAAAGGCCGAAAAGAGCGGCAATGCAAGTTTATGTTCCTCCACATTTGAGACAGAAAGGAACACAGAAAGAGAAAGAACAAGGAACCGCTAGTAAGCCCACATCAACCTCTCCTAGTGGTGAGCTTTGGCCTTGTTTTACTCTTATTTGTGTTTGTATGATTGACCACAATTCAAATTGGGAATGGTTGAATTGTGGCGGGAATAGTGGCTGAAAATTGATGTCTGTGCATTTAACATCAACATATGTCCTTTGTTATTAGAAAGGAACGAGAGCTTTTCTCAATAAACCTTATAGCAGCACTCTTTTGATGAAAGAAACAAATCCCTGTGAACCATGTTTGTTTATAAACTGATCAACTGTATCCTAGAACCCTTTAAAATAAACCTTTACTAGTTGCACGTAAGACGGTTGTTTGCACATGGTTGAATAGTCTTCCTCTCGAGAGTTTGATCGCTCCCAAACTGTTAGAGGTTAAGTTTAAAAATAAACCTTTTATTAAATTCTCAACATTAACACTTGCTTTGACAATGCTAAAATCCAAGAAGGTTGCAGGGTGGAGCTAAGTCAGTAGTGCATAACAGCCATAGCATACACCCGTTTCTGCAGCATGAAGTGAATACAAATAGTACCAACCCCTAAATGGGATGTCAGGCTACTATATGAAACCCCCTCCCCTCCCTCAATTTTTATTTCAGGCTTCCAAGCCATTTTTATAGAAGTCATCTAATAGAACACACCCTTTTAACACCTTAACACTAGTATTCATATTCTCCACACTGTAACCTATACATTTCTTAACCCTTTAACTCCCAGATCAAATTTGCAATTCTCCATACTGTCAACCACACAATTATTATAATGTTAGTACAGAGAATTTAGTATTGGATCCACTAATTATTCCAAAATTGATATTTTCTTTATTCTCATCACTCATCTCGTTGGGATTGTATTAATATTGTAAGGAGAAATTCTGTCTTGGTCATTCATGCAAGTAAAAGGGTTAAGGTGCAGACAATGAGAATTTTTATTAATAGTGAAGAGCTTCTTTTGATTGGTGATCATTCCCTTTGTTCTTGTGACTTAACTGTTTGATTCAGGGGTGATATTGTAAAGAGAAATTAGAAATTACTCTTATGGGCTTAATGGTGGTTAGGTTGTAGTGCAGTATGTTATGCTAACAGGTAGGATAGTGTTATCCACCATATGAAAGACTAGGCCCAGAACAGAGTTATCTGGCTAGGGCTTGAATCAAGATCTCTCAGTCTGGAGTCTAACATGCTACAGGTAATATCAGCCCCTTGCTTGGTCCTCCCAAGTTCCATCACCCCCTATGAAGCTCTGTCACCCCAAATTAATGGCAACCCAACACAGAAGTACTGGTTAGGCCCCAGTGACTCCCATTATTCTACATTATCTAACATAAATATATGTACTTGCATAGCAGCTTCAAAAACAGAAGACTGGGAAGCAGAGGAAAAACCTGCCTCTGAAGTCGCAATCCAGATGAAGCTTGAATTTGTTAGACAGGATGGGAAAGTAAGCAAATTGGACATCTGTGAGGTAAGCACTTTACAGTACCATGAAACATGAACATTTGTTGGGTTTAAATTTAGGCTGATTTTGAAGCTTTACCTTGATATGCCAAATAAGTTCCTTTACAGAAAAAAATCCTACCATGTACGTGCAAAAAGTTTTATGGTGCCAAATTTACCCCCTTTGTCAACTAAAAAGCTCTACAGACTCACAAAATATCATCAACCAGTCATCAACTGTGTGGATGTCATGATATGTGGATATTATTTTGTCTAAAGTGTGTCTGTTGTTGTTGTTCAGGTATTGAGGTAGAGATAGTGGATAAGTAAAAGCAGGTGTGAAAAAAAATGTGAATGACATTTAACAAACACCCAGTGCAGCTAAGTATTTCTTTGACTGATCTTTCCTTTAATTTTCTTGTAGGGAGAAGATCTTAAGAAGGTGGTGAGCAGTTTTGGCCGTGCCAATGGCCTAGATGCTCGACTAAGAGATGCTCTGTATCATCGCATTTCCACAGCTTTAAAGGAGAGAGCAGTGTAATGACAGCTACTCTTCTATTTGAATTTATTCATATTGAATAAACTTCCTGTTACATTTTATTTTATACCTATTTCTAAGTTCACAAACTTTCTGGCAAAAATAGCTTGTTTGATCATGTGATATGAAGCTCTGAATATGAATATAATTAATGTGTCATAGTCACCTTTAGTTTGGACTCTATCAATAGGATTTTTTTCTTAGCCTCATCTAAATTTGAGGGGTTTGGAAGAAGTTAAAACAGTCATGCAAACCTTAGAGGCGGTCAAAGATTTGTGTTACTCTTGAGAATTCAACCCAAGATTATTTAATAAGGCTTTTTAATCAAAATGACTATATTCCTTTATTGCTTTTGTGAGATCTCTCCTAAATACTTGTGTAAATATTCACACTCTTATCTTAACACACCTATTGCTCAATGAGAGCTCATGTACTATCTTAATTAATCTATTAATTTAATAGGAATAAGTTTTGTGAAGAAAATTTTTTTAAATTGTTCTGTTTATATACTGGAATTCCTTTCAAAGAATTTATTTATAAATATGCAGATTTTATTCTATTGGGAGATAGGAATATGAATCATAGGTTTGATGAATGAACCTTATATTGTACAGATTTATATTTTCGTAAATTATTTCAAATATGGACGTTTTTATTAAAGGTTCTGTTGCATTATTTGATCTGTTAAAATTTTTTCCTTGTACATTTAAGCTTTGAAAAAAAAATTTGATCAATGCTAGAAACCACCTTGAAAATATGATAAGTGGGTGAAAGCAGAAGGTACAGATTTATATTTTCATAAAATATTTCAAATATGGACATTTTTATGAAAGGTTTTGGTACATTATTTTATCTGTTAAAATGTTTTCCTCATACATTTAAGCTTCTTAAAAAAAATTTGATCAATGCTAGAAACCACCTGGAAAATATGATAAGTGGGTGAAAGCAGAAGGCTCAAAAAACATCACCAGTAACCTTTACAAAATATAATCACATAATTTTTGTGTGCATGACTGCGACCTTTCTAAAGATGTGCCTGATTTGGGTCATTCCCCTCAGCACTCCTCCCAAGTATATTAATTTTCTTTGTCCAAGTCCCTCCATAAACAGGTGTTTGCAATGCAGATACTGAAATACCCAAAGTAACGTTTCACCTATCAGTACCCCTGAATGGAAACACCCAATGAAAATAAAATTGATGTTAATTCCTCTCTCATGGTTACTGCAACATATCTAAATTAAGTTTTGGGAGGGGGGAACTTCCAGATTCCCTTTTTGTCCCACGTTCTTGACAAAGCCAACTCTTTAGCACAAAGTTTGGGTTTTTATTTATCACATGTCATGAAATTAAATTACAGATGAGTATAACAAACTTAAGTCTTGCCGAATGCAGGTTCCGTGAAAGAGAGAACACCGGTCAAAAATATCTATTCCATAAAAAAAATAAAACTTACACTAACATGAAGCATTTATAAACAACAACAACAACAAAAGGAGCGTCTTTGAGGCTGAACGTGAAAATAAACAGAGCAATACCACATCCTTCAGGCCTTTTTGGAGAACACCACAGATACCACGCCAAAATGGTAAGACTGGATTTGTCAGTTAACTTTATTTGCACTTTGCATCTGCAGTATTGAACTGTGTTGGTTTCTGTCAGCTGAAAAAGTGTCTTGAAACTCCATAGCTACAGCATTTAAGTTCTTTATTTCTGGTTCATGCTCATGGTATCTAACCTATTGCCACTTTTTTCTTTTCTACCTGACTAGACAGTATCCATCGGTGCTTTTTCCTTTTGTAACTCATAAATCTGTAAAACATAACAGACAAGACAAGATTTTGCACATTCAATTTTCCTTTGATAAGTGAAGGAGGAAATTAACAATAATAATTGAGAACCCTTATTCAGTGTTCTCCCTTATTTTAAGCATAACAGGTAAAATAAATTTTCAAACTGGTAAAGGAATCCTTCTACCTGTTGAATTTTTGAGAATTCCAAGCAATTTTAAATGGTATTAATAGGAACTACAGGCAGTAAATTTAACTGGTTACTGCCTGAAAAGGAGAACACTTCTTATTAAGACTGCCCAATGAAATCATGAAAATCTTGAACTCCTCACAACAATTGTGAAAAACTAAATAGCAAACTGTTTAGTACTTAAATTGGATAATTGTGTTGTGAACTGTAGCAATCCATTTTACCTGTAGAGTGCCTGTTTTAACTCAGAGTATAAATGAGTACAAGCAAACTATGGAGAACTCTTTACAGAAAACTTGGAGAGGAGGGAGGGAGGAAGGGATTCCTTGAGGTGGACTACAGTATCCTAGCGAGAAGGAGTGGCAATACTACCACTGTTTCACAGTTACACAGCTCACTTGTCATGGTTTACCATTCCTAGAGGGAGTTCTCCAACAGCTCTTAAGGCAGCCAAAGCATAGCTCACCCCATTTTCTTTTTCTGATTAAAATATTAAAAATTTCAAATCCCAAAAAAATAAGTGCCTAAAATTTTCCAAGTTTGAAAATTAAGTAACAACAACTGAATTTAACAATCTCTATATTTTTTATGTTGTATACCTGTATATATGAATCAGAGAGAGTTATCACTTGAGGCAAAATCTCTTTAACATGAAGATCTTGGAGTTCAAACCACTTGTTTGCACCCTAAATATACATATCAAACAATAAAAACCTCAGTAATGTCCTCACCCCCTTTAAAATAACAATACTAATTACACAAAGAAAATGAATACTGTATTAATCTTACTTTGTGTAGGATGTGAACTTTGAAAGTTCCAGCACCTGTGAAAGGAAGCAACATGACATTTCTTCATCCTGTGTTTAATGAGTTTCTAATGCATGTTTTCTCTTTTATTCACATTTTTTAGGCTTCTTTGCATCAAGAAAAGCCCTCAGGTGTTTCCAGGACACAAACCACTCCTGAAACTCATTTCAGAGTACAACACTTTTTGAATTAATCAATGCTGTCTCTCTTTCTACTAAAGCTACAAAAGGGCTGAGGGTAGGGTTGTGGAGCAAGGATTCTTCTACCTCGCCCCTCTCCCCCCTCCACCCCTCTATCTCCTCCCCTACAACCCCATTTTGCAGTAAATCTGCCAACAACAGTAGTATAATTGGCTATTTTAACAACTGAATGGCTTACATTGTAATTACTATTGACAAACCAATATATTAAATTTGAGTGTCAAGGCTCAGACACATTGGGCAACAAGGAAGTGCACAATTCTTTAGAAACAACTCACAGTCTCTGCATTTGCTTAGTATGCTTTATCAGACATACCTTATATACCCATACCCATACCCATACCCATATATACCTTTATGGTCTGAATTTCTGTAAAAGTTGTATCAGATTCAACAAAATAAGTCCTGCCAACTTGTTTTGGGTGCAGCACTTAGTTGGTTCATGCTGTAAAGTACCCCGATGCCATGCAGGAGATTGAGTACTCAAGCTCCAGACTGGACATATACCCAGGGTCTTTAAATAGCTAAAGAAAATGTGCTACTTTTGCTTTGACATGGCAAATGGTTAGCAACCTTTAGTCTTCTCAGATAAGGATGAAAAGCTGTAGGCCCCATCTCTTGCATCTTCTCTGCACTGGTTAGCAGGGGATGTTAACTTAAAGAACCCATGCATTTCTTGCAAAGAGTGGGGAATGCAGCTCCTTGTGTTGTGGCCTGGCCTGGCCTTGTTGTTGTTTATACATCTTATAAGTATTTCCTTTATAGAAAGAGCTTGGGGCAATAAAGGAAGAAGAAGAGTGGTTGATGGAGATTTAAGTGGACACTATCCTACCTTTGCTTGGCTCTCCTTCATGACAAACATTTGCAATCAGATCATACTGAGTGTGGGGATGAGCATCTTGCACAGCTGGGTCTGATACCAGGAACTCTGCCATGTCCACCCCCCTGAAAAACACACAAAGCACTGATGATTTAATTTTTATGGTGCTAAATGCAAATTTAAAAGGCAATCAAACAAGATAATTTGAGGTGCAGGGGTGATTTGTTGTGTAGGAAGGTGTATACTGTACTTTCAATAATGATTCACTTTACTGCCCATGGGAAGGGGGAAGGTGTTATTTACTTTGGGTATCTCAGGGGAGGGCACCCATTCAAAACAGGGTGCTTATTTCTTTATTGAAAAACAGCAGAATATGCAAAAAGGCTTGATGTTTATTTGAAAAGGATCAAGAAGAATTGAAAACAGACTAGTTGTCCTTGGATCCTTCTAGTATGACTGGCCAAGCCATTGTTGCAAAATTTTAAGATAAGATCATTCATTTGAATGAAATGTGCACTCATGTGGACATAATACTTAATAGTTGAGAGACTAAGAAAAAGGCCGTTGTTTCTGTAATTAGGCTTTAAACATGTACTCTAATTGTGTACCACTGAATTAGAGTAGGAGTGTTGAATGAGGATGATTACCCAATAGGGGCACTTATCAGAATAGGGGTGCTCATTAACCCTTAAAGTCCCACTAGTGAGCGACAAGACAGAATTTATCCTTACACTATCGGTAAGATATCAAGCAGACAAGTAATGAAAATAAAGTAAAATATCAATTAGGGGATTATTGGTTGATCCTCAAACTAACATCACATAAATTGTGTAGGAGACTGTAAGGAGAATTACTAATGAGATCTTGGGACTTGAAGGGTCAGAAAAACAAATACATAGGGGGTGCTTATCAGAGAGGGGACACTTATTGGAAGGAGTACATTCTGTCTTAGTTACTGAACCAAGTTAAAGGTGTTACTTATATATCAAAGATTTATCAAATTATTACACAACTTACTTGACTGGAAAGTTCACAACAGTGGGATTCTTCTCCACGAAGAACATGTTCTTTGTAAATCTCTAATAGTAGAGGTAAAGATTACATTGTCATGATTTAATAGATAGAAAAATCAAACAGGAAAATTCTAAACCAAGGAAAATTGGAAATACAAATGCCATGACATTAAATAAAGAATTTTATGTTTCAAAATGTTTCTCACACATTATAACACAGTGAACACAGAAACAACATAATTTCTTGTCTGAATAAATTTACAGAGGGTATCAAAGGAAGGAGAGGGGTCCTAATCACATTTCATGCACAGATTTTAGAGAAATGAATAGTGAAAACTTTTCTCTTCTTGTGTACAAGGTTTCAGGGAAATCTTGCGGTTTTCACAAAACAAAAGAAAAAAATTCATGGGTATCAGACATTTCATGAGGCACATCACACCTCATTCTGGCTCATAAATTGATAAATCATGTTTGGTCTTTTGTAACATTCATGCATTAAATAAAAAAATTTGACCTTAATCACACATTGTGTACAAACCCTTTGCCTACCTCCTTTTGCCTCTTTTTTTTTTTGAGCAAAAAATTAATTAGATCGTGCGCAAATAACACATACCTTAACACACATGATCAGATATTTTGGTAACTTTGTGAGTTCAAACTTCTTTACAAATGTTTCCTTGTATGTTTTATATTCCTAAATAAGAACATTATATGACTGTTGTTTAATATTCAGACACACGTAACATCCAGATGCAGAAACAAGTATGCATTCCAATAATCACTCATGTACTTAATATGAATCACCTTATACTTCAAACCTTCACCCCTAAGAATGACCAGCTTCTAAATTCTCCTCACCACATCACCCTTGGCTCAAATATAAAGGTCATGAGAATAAAAGAAATGATCCCCAATTTTAGAAGTTCCTGATGGTCAACTTGAAACAATTCAAATTCATTTTAATACAAGTTTGCAAGCACATAACTGAAAAAGTAAAATGCCTACATACCTTTTCTGATTTGCCATCAAATTTGCTTAAAAGCTGGAACAATGGCACCTGATACAAGAGAAAAAAAAAAGTTAGTTGCAAGTAAACCAGAAGTTCCATCACCTTTGAAAAATCATTGTGTAAAATGAAAGCCCTTAAAAATTATTTTGTTTTTCTTAAAATTGGCCTTTTTTCGTCTACAGAAAATTGATACAACTTAATGCAATTTTTTCCTGAGAAAAAATAGATACTTTGCTTTTCAAACTATCTTTATCTGCATTTCTTTACATGACTATTCCTTGTCAACAAATTTGGGAACTACCAGTACCTAGTCCAAGTTTTGAAAATTTTATATATCATCACAAAAATTGATGAAAGCTTCCTTGAAAACTTTGATTTGTAAATTGTTGTTTAAGAGCTCTTAGAAATGGGGAAAAGGAAACATTTTAACTAAAACTCTACAATGTTTTGAATGTTACTATGTTAATTTACGTTTGTTCATATCATGAAGCAAAATTAAAAAAATTTCTGGTAAACATCCTAGACTCTGTTAATATTAAGATCAATGTCAGTATCTCAGCGACTGCACAACTACCCCTCCCTTAACCCTTTATACCCTAACACCAGTAGACATACTCTCCATACTGTTCTCAATACATTTCTAAGGTGCTGACAAGGAGAATTTATTTAACAATCTAGAGCTTCTATTGAGGGTGATCATTTCCTTTTTCCTTGTGACCTCTATGTATCATTTGGGGATGATATTGTAAGGAGAAATTAGATGATGGTCACACTCAGGGGTTAAAGGGTTGACACAACAACAGTTAACTGATAACCAGTTAAGGATTAATGTTGGGTTAGGGGAGGGGTACATGTGCAGTTGCTCAAATACCAACATTGATCCTAACACCTTTTCAAAAACAGATTTATTTTCAACCTCTGGCTGGTCAACTTCAAGCCAAATACATTTAGCTAGTAAAATCTGGATTACTGACCTGTGGAATGATGTTCTGCTGATATTCATCCTAAAAAGAAACCAGTTGAATTAGCAGACAGCACTTTTGAAGACAGTGCTTCCTTCTTGACAATTAATAAAGCCTATATTGTTTTTATCAAATTATTGAAGAGTGACTAAATCCTTAAATTTATTTTTTTCTTTAAAGTATCCTTATTAAAAAACAGGAACCCATAGCAGTGTGGATTGTGATAAAAGCAGTTTAATACCTTGTACAGGGGCGATGGTGGAATATCCAACATCAAGTACATGTAGGGAGAAACAGTTGTAGTTTCTGTAAAAATAAACAGATAAACATTCAAACAAGATAATTTAGTTTTGTCAATTGAGTTGATAATTAAAAGTACTAAAAATTGGCCACTAGAAAGAGTTTCAAAGCTAACGTCAGCTTTCAAACTCATGACAGTGGCCAATTTACTTGATCAAAGTAGTCAACAAAACCAAATCACCTTGTTATTCTCTTCCACCAATGCAACACCACAGTTTCTTTAGAAACTTACCCCCTTTTTCCTGACAAAGAGTTTTCTAAGTTTTTCTCAAGATCTTAATAAGAAATTTCTTAGATATAGATTTTGTGATGAAAACTAGCAATTAAAAGGAACAACATTTGGAGCTCTTCAAGGTCATTTTCAAGTTCAAGTGAAATGTAAAATAAAAAAATTAGTATATAAATATTATATTTAAAAAATGGATGAAAATGTTACAAGTATTTCAGATGTGTTAAAAATTAAATAACTACAAACAATTCAAGTATCTGAGTTTTAAAAATTAACTTTAGTGTCTAAACAAACAACTCCAACATAACCTACATCAGACAGGTCACACTTAACCCTTTAACTCCCAAGATCTGATTGTTAATTCTCCCCTCTAGCTGCCACACATTTTACTTGTAAATGTTATGAGAATTTGGTGTTAGATCAGGATAACAACTTCTAACTGATAAGTTTTAGTATTCTTATCAACTGTTTGCTGGATAATGTAAGGATATTAAGAGGATAAGTTTCATGTTAATCACTTCTTGGAGTTAACCCTTTCACTCCCACAAGTGACCAAGACAGAATTTCTCCTTACAATATCAATACAATATCAAGCAGGCAGGTGATGAGAATAGAGAAGAATATCAATTATGGGATTATTAGTTGATCCAATACCAAATTCTCTGAACTAACATCATAAGAAATGTATGGCAGATAGTAAGGAGAATTACTAATTAGATCTTGGGAGTGAAAGAGTTAAAGGATTAGAAACATAAACAACAAATTTTTTGCTTACAAGGGGCTGCTTATCTTCCTTAATTCTGATTTTGTTCTTAACCTTTTGACTTGTATTATTTTTAGACGAAAAAGCTTTAAGGTTGACAGCATCCTCTCACAATAAAAATAAAAATAAAAATTCACGAACATACCTTTATATTCTTCTTCATCCACAACCTTTTTCGTTTCTTCCTCATTCTTTGACAGATAATGAAATTCAAACAGAAAAACCAAATTACAGTAATAAACATGAAATCTAAACAATAATTATATTAACAACTATTTGTCAAAGTGGAGGTGGCTGGTAATGGATATTTTCTGAACCATGAAGAGATGAGGTAAATATCCACTGCCACCCACTAAAGCTGACATTTCTGGGTGCAAATCCAGCGCACATTGCTCATAGGTGAATAGCAAAGGATATTTGGAGTTTGAGTAGCCAATCACAGTGCACCTTCAATGCTGCCCACTATTTCAGTAAATACTAAAACATAACATCAAAAAGACTTGTTTTAAACAGGTATAGGGTTATTTTCCTATTCTGTTCTTACCTCAGTCTGGGGAAGTTTTCGAGATGTTACATTCATCTTGCCTCGAAATGTTTTGTAAACAACACCTAATGTTGAAATAAAAGGAGCAGTGTAAGATAAATTGCAAAGAGATGCCTGATAATTCCAGCGCACACCATAAATATTCTTAACAATGTTGTATTGAACAAAGTTTGACTGGAAACACCTAATATTTGGGGAATGGGCTTGAATTCCTCTTTTTACCAGCCTTTTTTCAGATTTTATTTCCATTAATTGACAGTTTCAATTGAGTATCAAATGAAAAGTGATCTAGGATTGCTTTTGTTCTCTTTTACTTCACTCTCTGATTAGTCCAGGGAACTTACATCACCATCTCAAGCAACTAGATGAAAAACTAAAACAAATCCCAATTTAGTTACTTGCATTTAATCATGCTTTAAGCAGGTTGCCTGTTTTTACTTTAAAATCTACAGATTCAAGGAGAATTTTGAACGATAAATTATTAAAAATAATAAAATTGACACAGTAAAATTAAATCCTATATTCTCATTCCAGGGAGTTTAAGGGTCAGTGCTTCACAAACACTCATAAGTCAACTTACTGCTAGTTGCTTTCTTTGTTCCACCAAGAGTTGTGTGCAGAGAGTTAAGAAACCAAGACAAAAATTCCACAGGATCACCTATTAAACCAATGAAAGTAAATTATTACAGTACTAACACTGAAGGAATAATTGCTTGAATTTCAATCATCAAGCAAGCTCCCTGGTCAATTCTTTTCTTTTTCGGTTTTCAAAAGATTCATTCATTCATTCATTTTTGTCGGCTGACCAAGCCACTTTTATATAAACCAGCAAGAAAGTTGTGGGAAAAATTTTATGAGGATGGTTAAAGAAACAGGAAATTACTTAATTTACCTTGTTCAGTAAACTGGAATCTCTTTTTGCTACAAAGCACCACAGCCTAGAAATGAATTCATGAAACAGTCCTTAATCACAGGAAAGAAAGCACAACCATTTGAATCTCTTTTAAACTCTTTATACACTAACATCAGTATAAATATTCTCCACACTGTTCTCTATACATCCCCAAAGATGCCCTAAGCTGCTGACAAAGAGAATTTGTTTATCAATCAAGAGCTTCTTTAGCTGGTGATCATTTCTTTTAATTTTCATTAACTTATTGTTTGATTGAGGGCTGATACTCTTTGCAAAAATTAGATGCTATTTACTCTTTGGTGTTGAACATTTCAAAGGTTGCATTATAAGCTTTTATCTATGGAAGACTTCCAAGCTAAAATGTTAGTGACCCATTAAAAAAAAAAACGTCACACAATATTTGTCATGAGTTTCTGATGGGTTGCTATTTAGATCAGTTTTCAATTGAATTTTGCAAGTAATCCATGATTACTTTGGCTGTGCCTGACTTTTCTCAGTCTGTGATTGGTCCTGACAACTTTTACCACCATCTCAACCAATCAGATTAAAAACTGAAACTTATCCTGATTTGGTCACTCATGTTTTCCTGCATTAAATAATTGTGGCAAATACTAATTGGCTAACGATGATGTCAAGCTTGGCTCCAATTGACTGGTGATATTACATTGATTGGTTTTGTCTCTTTTGAAACTCATCTGATACTGCCTAATCTTTGCTATGTTGAGTATGGTAACTAAAAAGCAGAGGATAATTTTTTTTCTGTTTGAATCAACAATCAGAAAATTAATGTGGGTCATTACAGAAGCCAGCAATTAAAAATCTGCAAACAGGCATTAATGAAGAAAAGTTCAGATGAAAATATACATCAGTACACCAACCTGCAACATCTCATGAGGGCTGACATGAGCTTTGAAGTTACGTGGATTCCAAATTTTTCTAATTAGCTCTCCAAACCTGTTTACTAAAACAAAAGTTCACAACAGGAAATAAATAAATTGAAATAGTTTATAGACCAAAAAAGTTGATGACCATACAAATTAATAAATTTAACAAATGCTATTCATTTAAAGAATTGACATGTGTGCATTAGAGAACAATAACAAGAGAAAAGAGATAAACAACAAACCAATTAACCCTTTAACTCTCACAAGTGATTGACATATAACTTCTCCCCATAATTTCTGTCGAGCGTTTTCAACATGAGCCATTAGGCTCAGGAGATTGGGTAACCACCCCCTACATTACCGACATAAAATAAATTGTACTGTATTGTATTGTATTGTATTGTAAAATCCATATATATTCAGCAAACAGAAAATGAGATACTCAAATTCTTATAACCAATTTACAAGGTAATGTACAGCTGTTAGAGGAGAGAATTAACAATCAGATCTCTGGGGTTCCAAGATTAAGCAAAACAGACAGCTAGAGGTACTAAAAAGTGTTTCATTTATGGAAAAATAACTGCTTTTCCAGCATGTTTTCGCAACATACTAATAAGAATGTTGTATACAGGCACCCCAAATCATATGTGTGAAGCATAGCTCGGCTTATTTCGCTATCAGATTGGAGTTGAAAACCATGCACCTTTAACCCTTTAACTCCCAGAAGTGATTGACATGTTACTTCTCCCTATAACATCTAAACATTATCCAGCAAACAGGTAATGAGAATATTCAAACTTATCAGGTAGAAGTTTTTATCTTGATCAAACACCAAATTCTTGTAACTCATTTACAAGGAAATGTGTAACGGCTACAGGGGAGAATTAACAATCAGATCTTGGAAGTTAAAGGGTTTAGTTTACTTAGTGAATGATGCTCTTGATATTTCTTGCATTGCTCTCAGGTCTTACCGAGAGGGAACATGATATCACCAGGAGGACGCTTGATGCTTTGATAGTTTTCTTCTCGAAGAAAAAAATCACGGATTGGTGGGACGAATGCCAAAGCCTGTTGATTGAAATAAGGAGATCATTGGTTGTAAAACTCAATTAGTATTTTGTCATTGAGATCAGTCATAATTAATCCGTTAATAAAGTAAAGCAGTCTTGTTCAGTTCACTGCATGTGTTTGTGGTGAATGTGATATTTAATAATAAGATGTTAGGCTGAATCAATATCACAGAAAAACTGACCAATCAAAGCATGAACAAGACTTATAACATTGAACTGGCAAACAACTATTCATCAGAACCACAGTATTGACTTCAACAGACAATCAGGATGTAAAATACACAAAACATTTGTTTTTGTTGTTGTCTTTGTTTAATTTTTTTTCTCCATTTCAACAACTGCAAAGTTGAACCTTTTTAATGATTATTAAAGAGGAGAAAATAGAGAATGGAATAATATAGTTCAGCTACCAGTAATTAGATGCATTTTCAGTGAAATTACATTTTTCCATATATTAGAACACAACAATGCAACTATGAGAGAGGAAAAGAGGAATCACATAAACAACAAGTAATAAATAGTACAAGGACAGTAATTAATAATGAGAGAAATAATACATGGAAAGCACTCTTTTAAATTGCTTTCCATTAAGTAATGTGTCTCTAACTCCTTTAAACTTAAAATATGACAATACAAATTCCATCACATTGGAGATATGAATTGACAAACTTGCTTTGACAGGACACTTTACTCTCTTTGTTGATAAGCAAAGAAATGTATGGCAGCCAGTAGGGAGAATTCTGAATCAGATCATAGGAGCTAAAGAGTTAAGAGCAACCATCATTCTCACCTGTAATACTACATTCAAGTAATCATTTGCTTTGATATTATTCAGTCCAACAATTCCTGTAAGAGGACAAAACACATAAAAAAACCTAAACAAAAAAAATTAACCAAGGGGGTAATGTTCTACAGAAATTGTGGTGTAGCACCAGCAGAGGGTAACACAAGAAAATTTGGTTTTATCAACTGACTTGATGGTAATAGTGAACAACTGTAGCCCATTGTCAGCCCACTGTTGGCCCACTGTTAGCCCACTGTCCGCCAACTGTCAGTTGACAGTCTGCCGACAGATGGCCGAGAGTATCTTTTGGGAACTGTTCTTAACTTTTACTGACTTGATAATGCAAATTGGTCACTGTATAGAGTTTCAAAGCTGAATCAAAGCTTTTGAGCATAAGCCCTTTGTCAGAGCAATTAGAGGCATAATGGGTTGGGTTGTCCATGCTTAATGTGCAGAAAAATGTAGCCACACTATTGGTGGGAACATGGTTACATGAAGAACAAGTATAAATTAGTTTAATGAAAATTGTTTGTTGATACTATGGGGATTAAGAGTGCTGATTTAAAAGATAAATTTTCTCTCTAGATTTTTGTGGTATTCCAGAGAGCTTGGATTTACAGAAAGGCTGCAGACTGCCATATGTAGCATAGAATGATTTGGGAGATGTAAATGACTAGCAGTGTCTGAATGAGACATTTTGATCTCTTCTAGACAAAAATGAGACAGATCAAAGTAATCCCACTAGCATGGCATAATTACATCATAGCATGCTTTAAAAAAAACCAGAATAACCAAAAAAAAGGATGCTACACTATTCCTAGAATTTAATAAAATGCTAATATTTACCAGGTAGATAGGTTGTGCCATCAAAAGCTCTGGACAGCTTTGCTGATTTATCCAACTGCGTAATATCATTTTTGGTAAACGTTGGGTTTAAAACATACTGAAAAGAAACATATAAACTATCTTGGACTCTTTTCATATTAGACAATATTGTTGCCACAATTTATGTTTAAAATGATCTGAAATGGTTGAATGAGAAACAACTTCAGTCGTTTTTCCATCAAACACCATATCTGTGATAATTTCAATTTTATTTTAAAAAATACTGATATTGAATACATAAAGTAATACATAACAACCATTCAATTATGAATAATTTTATATACATTTAATTATACTTTAAAAGGAAACAATTGGTAAGGAAATTGCATTTGTTCAAACAATTTTTTGACTCTTCAAGTTGAGTAATTTAATCAGTAATAACTTGTGTGAATAATTGCAGACAGACAGCATAAAACTTGTTTCAATTGTTAAAATTTAAACTCACCTTTATATCATCTAAAGAAGAGTCAATAACTTCATAGTTATCAGGTAAACAGTAAAACTGAAAGAAGTAGTAAAGAATAAAATTCTTTACTTCAATCATAATTATAAAATGCCTATAAAAATACATTCCCTTATTTGTCAAAACCTGTAGTTTAGAGTACACGTTCTGAGTTTCATTTGATTCCAAAACACTTTGATAGCCAAAAAAAAGGTGCTTTTAAATGCACACTTTGAACAACCATTGTCTTTCATGTCTGGAAATTTGATGAGATAGATTTGCCAAAATGTCCGAAAGAGTTAAGACACAACCCTGCACCCATTCTAACAACATGTGTTTTGGGATAATAAAATCATTTGCAAAGACATTTCTACACTGTCCAGTGAACAGTTATTGGAAATACTCAAACTTGTCAGGTACAAGTTGTTATCTTAATCTACCAGTGACACAAAGTTCTCTCCACTAATTTACAAGGAAATATGTAGCAGCAGAGGGTAATATTGGTAATATTAATAATCAGATAAGGGGAAATTACTGGTAATCATGAGACAAAGTGTTTATTGTCAGTCTCACCTTGAGTGTATGAAGATTAAGAAACACATGATGATCAACTTGTACACTGTGTGTGTAAGCATGAGAGCGACGTCCACGTCCTGTGGAATCCAAAAAAAAAACACTTTCTATGCCCTAACAGTCACACAAAAACATAGACTAAAGCAATTCTCACCTTGAAAATACTTTCCGCACACCAAGCAAGCATACACATTGATGTGTGATAATGACACAGAACACAGCTTCTCAAAATCAAAGTCGAGCACATGCCTGTAAAAAAAAATGGGTTCTTTAGGGTATGTTTGGCATGCACAACCTGAGAGTTACGATCAGTTATGGTGGACATTAAAAGAAAATCATGTTAAAAAGAGAAAGTTGAGAAAAACCACAACAAAATTAAGTCTTAAGAGAGCTAAGAAATATCACACAGGGATTGTACTCCTTGAATAGGCCATTGTTACAAGTAAATGAAGCAATAAATCAAAAAATTTTGCTGGATTTTCTTTTGCAGATTGGAGGTTTGTTGAGTTGCTGGGAACTTAATTTTGCAATTCTCCTATCAAGGAGCAAGAAGTTAGCACAGATGAAAATGTAGCATTCACATATTTGATTACTTGCTGAATCACAGCACACTCTAGCTACATCATGTCACTGAATCTATAAAAATTTTAGAACCTTGCAGCCAAAAAGAACTGACCCAACAACAAAGTTAAACAAAAAACCTATTATTTCCATCACCCTACTGCAGCTGTTTAATTTTTTTAATCATATATTTGTTCCTGCAAGAACTGATTCTATGTGGGTTGAGGTCAATCTGCAAAATCTACTCAAATCAAAACCCACAAAATTTTGTTTGCTCAACTATGTGGAAGTTTGTTACATACATGATCAAAAAATATTCAACAGTTGGCTACACTGTACCTGTCTATGGTGTCAAGATAAGGACAATGTCTACTCTGATAAGCACTGTGTTCTGGAAAATAGAGAATAAAATCCGACTGGTTTTGTTTTTCGAGTGAGAGGGGTATTTTCAACACAAAGGATTTGAAATAAAAAGCTACTCTACTAATCAGAAATTTATCATGTGGATAAGCCAAGTAACTTTTCAGAAAAGAAGTGAGAAAGGGATCAGAAACACCATTTGTAATAAAAACGTGAACTGAAGAGAAACAAAGTTCACACACCTCTTTTGGTAAAATTTCCTCACAGCCCCATACTATTGTAAAACAAATCTGTTTTCCTAATGGCAATGTATTGTTTTTGTCATTGTTTTCTCTATCCAAGAACTGAATGCATAATGTAGTATGAGGCTGTGCGGAAATTACCTTTACCGTAAACAACTTAAACGAGGAAAGAAGGGAACGTTTCAATAATTATGAAGAGGATTGTAGTTGTCATGATCAGTAATCGGTGGAATGAGCGAAAAACACGAGGATCACAATCAAATCTTCAACAATTTTGCTCTTCGCATCATTTCGAGTGTACTTATCCTGCCGGGTCTACTAGCGGTACCTTGTTTTCTTCGAGCTTCCTCTTCTTCTTCATCGTCGCTGTAGTTTTCGACAAGAGGTCTTTTTATTCCTCGCACCTCTACCTCGTCTTCATCCGCCATTTTGAATCTAAGAATAGATTCCAGGCTCCGCGCTCCGTAAAATATGGCGGGAATGTTTCCAAGGGGCCGCTCATTTGTAGTGTGGTTTGATCGTCCGGCAAACTACTCTGTTACATGTTACCCCGGGTTCAAACCATTTACTGAACAGCTCATTATTAATCTCCTAGGATTCTCGGGGATCACATGGGAAGAGGGCTAAAGAAAATTGAGTCTTACATTTATCCTATACACCCCTGTCTTCCCCTGTCTCCTTTAGGAGCCTGACTAAGCAGGCTACGGTTTTCTGATCGGGTAAAATATATGATATTTAACAATCATTCCATGAGCGCACGCTAGATGTGGGATGGTAAATAGCCAACGAGGCGTCTAGCGCCGAGTTAGCTAGCTATGACCAATCTCATATCCAACAAACGCGAATGTAATAGTTTTTTTATTAATTTTCATAAAATCCTGAACGTTTGGATATTTGGAGGCTTTTTTTCGGTGCCATGCATTTCCATATAGGGTAACTCGGAATATGAGCTGATAAACGGAGCTGAATGAACCACTCAGAACACTAGAAAATGTATTATTCGGAGTTTAAAATGTAATAAGTGTATCCTTAGCTTAAAACTTCATATGCGCAAGCCTGGTAGTCGCACAGTCATAAAAGAAATTTGCTAGCAGTAGTTGCAGCTCTTTTATTAGGCGGTGAGTACTCGGCTATAAAATACTTACCACCTACATCTGCCAGAGATTGGTTTTGTGTTGAAGATACAGAGTCATTTGAATTACCGTAAAACTTTCAGTGTAACTTAACAACTTAAGCAATAGTTTAAATACATACGGAAATCTGAAATCTAGTTTAAGGCACTTCATTTCAAATCAAAAAATTTTCGATAAGATGAAAGTTATTTTGCCTCACTTTGCCTGCCCGGGCCGTAAACCAATGCAGTTGAAAACTCCTTAGTTAAACTCCTTAACAAAGATTGTTCGGTTATATCCCGCTTAAAGAATATATCAACACTAAATATTTGCCTGGAGAGAGGTACTCTATAATCTTAGATAATCTCGTTTCTTTCAAGTCTCAAATGTGTATGGTTAGTCACGTATTCTTCTTCCTTATTTTTTGTAATTGACAGTAATTACTACTTGTTCAATTATTTTTTTATGAACAACTGTAAAAGACCCTTTTACATCAATTTTGAAGTATTTGTCAGTTCTGTAATGTAGTTTTCATTTTGTATTGTTGTATTCTGGCTAGATTGAAGTTAAACATTCTACTTGCGTTAAACTACTGCTCGCCTCGACTAGCTCTACCTAACTGCGAGCAGTGTTTATCTTATTTTGTATTTTAAAACTTCTAATAAACTTGTAAACTGGTGAAGACTTGAAAAATTTTTCTACAGGGTTTCGCAAAGTTAAGTCGAAAGCTCATTTCGTTTCTTCTAAGACTTTCATGTATTCCTTTCAGAGATTTGAGAATTTTATAGCATAACTACTTTCCATCTGAAGCTCCAAAATTTTAAAGTGAATCGAAGGAAACTTCCATAGTTAAGCAACACTGATTCCGAAACTGCGTACATAAAGATGGACGAACAAACAGACAAGTCACAACTAAATGTTTTCACCCTGATGGGTCATCAGATCCCCTTACGAGCTCAGGCGTAATTGAATTGAAACCGATTTTGCCATATTTAAATATCCTGTTATAGACATCCAAATAAAGCCTGTTGTTGTGTATAAAGTTTTCTTAATCACGGCTGGGAATGCACAAGGCAAGCATATATTCTGAGAGGGTTATCAACCGTTCGCTATCATGGATTTGAAACTAATTCATATATTCGGCATCAAAATTACGACAAGCTTTTTGTGTTGCATCTGAACAAACACTGCTAAACCACGTGATTAATGCTTAGTATTGTTTGATTTAAACTACAAAAATTTTTTAGGAGTCTCCTTGAACGCCTCGACGGTGTAGTTTTCGGTCAATTCGGTTACCTGTTACTAAACTGTTTATGTTTACGATTTCGGACGTTTGCAGCTAAACTAGATCGTTAAGAAGGATACATAACTTAATCAATGCGACAAAACTATATCTTTCAGTTCTTTCCAATAAGAAAATAGAAAATCATCAGAATCATTGTTTAAATATGTCCGTCTATACAAGTAACTAACGGGAGCACTTCAGTTCTTAACTTTCAATAAATTATACCTTATCACTTTAAGTTTGTTTCTCTGTCTCTGA